CTCACCTTTTTAGTGCTGTACTAGTTAGATGCAATCGTCAACTCTATCAGTTTCTTTTCTCTCCCTTCCCATCTTTAGAACTCCTTTCCGATTTCTTTCTTCCCTGATAACTACAATCTTTAAAACTTTAAATGCAGTGTCAATTGCCATCTTCTATTTGCTTGAATCATATTCATGTTCTTTCATCACTTCTCCTCAAAAAAGATTTTTTATTCTCTCTCATATAACGCAACATATTATGTCCAAGTGGCATTATCTTCTTGTTTGGGGTGATTGTTCTTTTTGTTTGGTCATTTAGCGGCATATCAACAGCATATGGGTCATTTAAAGCCAATATTTAATTTTCCTGGGGGAATTAGTAATTACATTTACAAAAAAACTTATTTCTGTTTTTTTTGTTTTTGTTTTTTTTTAATTAATTGCTGACAAGTTTCTTACTATGAAAATATATTGCTGATAGTTTTACTGTAAAAATGTATTTTTATACTTTCATTGAATTTTAGCTACTTTTGGGGGGGGGTTAACTGTTTGCCCTTGGGTCAGAGTGGATGTGGGAACAACAACATTTAAGAGGTCGTCCCAGATGTGGTTTATCGTCAAACCCAGCTTGAGCTGAATTTATTTAAAAAAACATAAAGTTAATGTTTGAATAAGCGTGTTTCAAGACAATAAAATACTCACGAAAATGCCCGGATTGAACTGTTAATTATATGAGCTTAACAACTTTAACAAAATCTTTCCATGACGATGATAAGTATAAACGTAGGTCATTATTTAATGAAGGTACAGTGTCCAAATGAATAGATTTGAAATTAACAATATATTTCATTTTACTGAGAGCAGACGTCAAGCATATGAGATTGTTAACATTCATTGATTTATCCATTTATTTATTCCTTCGTTCATTCATTTATTCATTCATTTGTTTATTCATTTGCTTATTTATTCATTCATTTGATTATTCATTTATTAATTAATTTGTTGATTTATTTATTCATTTGTTCATTCATTTATTCATTCATTCATTTATCCATTCATTCATTTATTCATTCAATCATTCATTTATACATTCATTCAATCATTTATTCATTCATTCATTCATTTATTCATTCATTCATTTGATTATTCATTCATTCATTCATTTATTAATTAATTTATTGATTTATTTATTCATTCGTTCATTTATTTATTCATTCATTCATTTATTCATTCATTCATTTGATTATTCATTCATTCATTCATTCATTAATTAATTTATTGATTTATTTATTCATTCATTCATTTATTTATTCATTCATTCATTCATTCATTTATTCATTCATTCATTTGATTATTCATTCATTCATTCATTCATTAATTAATTTATTGATTTATTTATTCATTCATTCATTCATTCATTTTTTCATTCATTCATTTATTCATTCATTCATTCATTTATTCATTCATTCATTTATTCATTCATTCATTTGATTATTCATTCATTTATTCATTTATTTATTTATTGATTGATTTATTTATTCATTCAATCATTTATTCATTCATTTATTCATTCATTCATTTATTTATACATTCATTTGTTTATTCATTCATTAATTAATTTATTTATTCATTCATTTATTCATTCATTTATTCATTCATTCATTTATTCATTCATTTGTTTATTCATTAATTATTTTATTTATTTATTCATTCATTCGTTTATTGATTTATTCATTCATTGATTTATTCATTTTTTTATTCATTCATTCATTTGTTCATTCATTTGATTATTCTTCATTTATTAATTTATTCATTTAATCATTTATTCATTCATTCGTTTATTCATTCATTCATTTATATATTGTACAAATGAATACATTTTAAATTGCCACTATTTTCCATTTTACTGAATGCGGACGTTAATTCTTTCTTTCTTTCTTTCTTTCTTTCTTTCTTTCTTTCTTTCTTTCTGAAATGAAACTGTAACCCTGACGTCTTTCCTTGTGATCTAAACGGAAAAGTCTATTATTTATGAACTATTTGCATGAGGTAATGAAAGCTCTCTAACGAAAGGAACTAAAGAACAAGCAGAATTCCAATATGGTTCTAACTGATGTCGTTTACAATTCTTGGTAAGGAATATAATTTTGCATGTCTAATGAGAGGCGGATTATAAATCATACTACTGTTTAATCGTCTCCTCTTTTCGACATCTTTAGTTCAGGAACATCCTATTTTTAATGACCATCGGCTTAAGCATTAAATATTAAAATCAAATTTTCCAATTCTTCTCCACCTATCATCTGAAAGAGATGTTAAATACGAAAAGAATGAATGGAAAATATTTCCAATATCACTCATTTCAAGCGCACATTCGTGTAAACGACAAAAGACGCTAACATAAATGTGTACGTGAAAAGGAAAAGAAATAATGTAAAAACAATATGAATAGTAATCATATTCAAAGATTCGAGACGCATGGCATTTAACTTCCTGTCATGCGCAGTTTCTTTTTACTTTTTTTTAAGCTAAAACTGCAAGTTATCATAAAAGTTCCTCGCTTTTTCTTCATCAAATGCACTTAGAGAAATCTTTCGATTTTGTTCAGGAGAAAAAAATGAAAAAGAAAAGAGGAATCATTAAGGTACGCAGATATTCATTATTTCTCGTCGCCATTGGGGTATTGTCGTTATTTTGTTTATTAGAGCAGTAGTGTCCAATCTTTTTATACTACGGACCGGCGTCATGTTGGACAATCTTTCTTCGGACCGGTAGTGGAATATATGTGTAATTTTAGTGTATTTAGAGAACAACAATAAAAAGAGTAATTTATTAAAGAGAAGAAAAAGCGTATAATACTTTGACTAATAATGTCTAAGCTCCAGCACCTTTTTTCTTAGTTTCTCTAAATCAGTACTTTTTACACTATTATCACATTAATATCAACTCACCATAATGTGAAGGGTAGACTGAAAGTCTTGTTCCCACAAAAAACGTAATGAGAGCAATAGAAGAATAAGTAATACAGTAAATACAAAGCACATGTACTGGATTCAGTTTATTCACTTTCATTGAAGCTGCCATGCATCGAGAAGGTCTCTATGAACACAATCATTTTCGTGGCACAAAATGATGCCGCGCCAAGTCCTGTGTGATATTTTACAAACCTGTGCTTTGTTGATTGTTGTAAAGGATCTCCGAATGGCGTCTTTTAACTGATGGGTATCCTGGTATCGTTCATGTGAAATTCTTTCATTGATAATACTCCACAGGCCGTTGAAATCGAACATTATATTATATACGGGTGACAGGACATTCGGACATCCCTGTAGAATCAACAAAAAGGTCCCACCTGGGAGAGATGGGAAACAATGTCACTCGAAGTGTGTTCCTTGTGTATAGTCTCCTTCGTAGTATTGTTTTAGTTATTGTCACAGCAGAAAAAAACCACTTCACATAGATATAATGTTGGAAATTAAATCCATTATTCAAATGATCTACAATATAATTTTAAAGAAGTTAAATATTTCTTTGCGTTCCGGTAGCAAATCCTTAACGATAAAGGTCCGCAACCCGGTGGTTGGGGACCTCTGTATTAGAGTATTGCCGTATAAATTTTGACAAATTGTATGAATCCTTGTAACTCCGCTCAACACAATTTCAATAATGGAGAATATTTTTCGCACTTCTAGATTTTAAAATACTAATACAGGCATTCAGTTTCTTTTTTTTATATCCATTAAAAGCATAATTGTTATAATTTTAATGGTGGAATTTTAAATGACGACGAAATAAAAATTGTGGAACGATGAAAGAAACGTCAAAAATCTCGACTTCAGTCTCTTTCTCGTGGCGTGGCTTTCCTTTGTTTTTTCTATAAATATTTTTATGGCATCTGCTCTGACGATCGTTTCTCCATGGTACACGTTTGCTAGTATATTATCATCATCTTGCGGCCTCAGCCGAGATTGAACACACCAATACTTTGATTGGTGTAGTTCATAATCGTGTCAAGTAGCTGAATTCTTGATGCTTCGCTAGGGCTATCAAGGGTGTTTTTATCGTGACACCATCATTAAATGGATTGCCAACCTTGTGCGAAACTTTACCAACAACAGCAAACCAGATTTTGCCAGATCAACAATGATAATATCACTTCCGATTTAGACGCGGGTTGGGCTGATAATTAATTGCATACGAACTGTGACATAAACCCATTATTGCACGGAGGACTGATATAAAAACAGTATTTACTTTTGTTCAGTTTATTCCAGTGTTATTTAGTTTCCTGTACCTCATCGTCCTGCTTGAAACAACCTGATACAAACATACATGCGACGATTCGATCTTGGCTGCCTTGTGATCAAACTTAAATCACAACGTGGGATAAGGTTAGCTCTGGATTGAAGTGCTTCCTTCAGCGACCAGCCGTGTTGTTAGAAGTCTTCGATGACCAGCTAGGGTGTTGTACGATTACTGTATCAGTTAAATGCGGAATATAATGGCTTAAAAATAAATACTTGCTAATGGAATCTTTATTATTATTTTCAAATATTACTATTGATTTTTGCCCATTAAATGATTAAATTGAGCTCCAGAGTTTTAGTTTTTCTACAAGAGCAGACTTTTGAGAATGTTGAGAAACACTGGTTTAAATATATCTGAATGGGTTTGGTGCCAAGCAAGACTGAAACTGAAAGTTACGATCTGACAAGGCTACTAACGAATACAATAGTCTGAAAATAACTCATGATCCTGATCAATAAGTTAAGGAATTGACATTATTGAAAACATTCCAGAACATGCTGCAATAAGGTTTTTAAAATCACCTTACTGGATGTTGGCGCACCGGATATTCGAGGATGAGGATTGCGAATACATGTCACGAAATATTTTCATCATAAAATGAGGAATTTTCTTTGGAGAGTTCGTTTTTTTTATCTTTCTTTAGAATCAGGAACTTAATGACGGATCGAAGTTCAAGCCATAAACATTTGAAAAACATACATTCCAATGAAAGGTTACGGCCACATCTCGTTGAAACACCGGTTTCTGTATGATCACCGAAGTTAAGCAAAATCGAACCGGCTCAGTATCTAGATGGGTGACCGCCTGGAAATACCAGGTGCAGTAAGCTTGGACATGCAGAAGGTGAAATGCATAATGGCTCGGAATTTTTAATCGGAGAGCCGAGTTCCAATTCCCGTTGGCTTTATTCACTTACGCGCAGATACTCTTTGGAAAGGTATGAATCCACCTCTTCCTTCCGCAGATATGGGTTAATTATTAAGACTTGTAACACTAAATTATTATTATCCTCCCCACAAAAAAAATTCAATATAAATATATTTTCTGGTTTTTAATTAACCTGCAAAAACTTGATAAGTCGTAGAAGACGAACCAATCTTGTATTAGTGATATCTCTATCTATAAAAGGCAGGATGTGTGTGTGTGTGTAACGAATGCACGGCCGCTATTTTCGACGTATTTCCACCAAAATTTACATGCACATGCTCCAAGTTAGTGGAAAGGCCAAGACCGACCTTGCATTTCCCAACTCCTATCGATAGTGGAAATATTCGATTTTTTTCATGCTTCTACGGCAGTTTTCATGTAAGTTGCGGCCATTTTCTACTGGCCAGAGTATAGCTGGCTGCCACGAATAGGCAGGAAGATTCTATTGGCCAGCGTGAGAGCCAACAGCTGACTGACACGAATGTTAACTAGCATGTTAGCATGCAAAAAAAAAAAATCGATAACTGCATTCGTCACAAGTGGGTAAAATTTAAATCTGCATGGCACTTTATTCCAATTGGCTCATTCGCTTACTTAAACTCAACGTTGATTCTGATTCCGCAGAACTGGGTTGGGTGTGAAAAAGTATTTGTTGTTAACATTTTTTTTTCATTCGGTTTTTCCAGTTACGAGTCTTTTTTTAAAGCTGATCGTTTTGTGTTCATTTAATTTTTTTTTTCGTAACAGATTTAATGTTTAGTATAGAGCTAAGAAAAAATTCGCAGTGTGAGATAGGCAAGAAGTAAGGCATGTAGCAACATCAGCACGGCAAAGGGCACTCGATTAAAGGCAAGGAAGGGCAAAAATATTTTAAGTCAAGTGATAGCGATTGTTGTATGAGTCGTACGATTTTTGAATCAAGCACAGGCAACGCCGGGTCATGCTGCTAGTTTAATAATAATTCTCTTTTGAGAAATATCTATCCAAGTAATTTACAGACAAAACTGTTTTGTACACTATAGAATTTCGTATAGGAAAAAGTCTGCAGACTGTTCAGCATGCCTGAAGCGTCTTGATTGTTACTTTTACCAAAGATTCAAATATTGGCTTCAAGATAACTTTCCTCTTAAGACTTTCAAATTCTTTGACGCCTTGAGAAAAAAAATATCCTTTCACCACATTAATTTTTCTTATATTCAGTTCACGTGGACTTTATCAGACGCAGGCGCGGCCATTAAGATATTCACAGCGCGGGAACATGCACTCAATTATACGCAGGAACACAAAGAAAATGAAGGAAACAGACGATCGATCATTTGTAGAAATTGAAATGTTATATTGTATGAAATGTACAAAGATTGATGCGCCTTTCTTTGGAATTTATTTTTGGAATAAGTCTTATATTCCGTTCTGAATTATAGAAAGATTTTTTAATGCATGTCTTTTCAAGACGTCGGCAACCAGACCTTTTTAGGCATTACGTTTTTTTATCAAAATTGTTATGATTCTTATGGAAGTGGAATACATTCTCGTTTCCTTCTCCATAGGTGAAACTACAGAGTATAGCGTCTCCCTCCAGGCCGTAGGCGACCATAACTCTCTGCGCTTTGCCTTTCTTTATTATCTGTGAATTGCAATAATTCCTATGTATAATTAAGGGCTTTCCCTCTAGCCAATCCAATCCATTGTTTCCTTTTCTCTACATTATGAGCATAGAAAATTCTTCTCTCCTTCTCAATATCTATATATTTATATGCATGGATGTATTATTCCAAACGTTATTATTAGTGGATAATCATATTTGAAATAGACAACCCATTTTTATTCCCTAATACGTCTATCGGCCTGCGTATGCAAGAATTTTTAAAGAAAATGGGGTTTCTCGAATATGCAGAACTATAGACGTAATACACACATTTCAAAGTAAAAATAACATGGAGTTCTCTTTTAACAAAGAGTATGTGCCTGTTTATATTTCTGAGAGGAGGTATTATGTACATTATTTACATTATTCGGACGATTATTCTCATCTTTGTCGCCATATTTATTACAACGTTTCGGCCCTTCAGTATCTGTCTATATTTCTGAGATGAGGTATTATGTACACTATTTACATTATTCGGACTATTGCCCTCATCTTTGTCGCCATATTTATTACAACGTTTCGGCCCTTCAGTATCTGTCTATATTTCTGAAATGAGGTTCGACATTACAACCACCTGAAGAAGGCTGAAACTTTGTTAATAAATATGGCGACAAAGATGAGGACAATACTCAGAATAATTTAAATAATGTACGAGTATGTACTATAATAACTATTTAAGTAGTAAAAATATTACATTAAAAAATAAATCCATAAATTCTGTTATATATATATATATATATATATATATATATATATATATATATATATATATATATATATTTCCGCTTGAAATAAGTATATATAATGCTCTCGTTAGCCAAATGAGCACTTTGGAAAAAAGCGTAATTTGAAAAAAAATCAGAGGCTGCTACTGCTATTAACGCATCACTCTTCAATTACGAATTGAGCGCTCTTAGGACCTAGCGTTTGTATACATCTCGTATATAATACGCTAAAAATTTCTCTTTCTCTGCCGTACGCCGGTAGCTTAGGGATAGAAACTCTGACTGAATCATAATCGGTCCCGGCTTGAAGCAATCAGTCATCTAGCCACACTGACGAGCTGTAAGACAGCAAAACAGGCTTGTATATAGTTGATTAAATCATACTTATTATAAAACCCAGGTTGTATGTGTGTGTGTACGTTTATATACTAGATCGGATTTCCTACATTTTTCAACCGATTTCAACAAAACTTCACAGAACTACGTAAAATTACCTTGCGGTGGTTCTGACAGCACCAAAAATTGGAAAAACACATTTTTTTTGCACGAAATCAATTTGAAAACACGATTAAGAGGCATCGCGAGAATTAAAGGGGGGCAACTCATATTGAGTTATACTTATAAAACCCAGGTTGTGTGTGTTCGTTTATATATGGAATCGGATTTCCTACATTTTTCAACCGATTTCAACAAAACTTCACTTTTTTTTTGGCAGGTAGTGTTTCTTATTGTCTTGCACACTTTATTCTTTATTTTTACATTCAGAATGCTTTAAAAATTCCATTTACAAGACAGTTGTTTGTAACAAAATTTTATTCAATCGGTAGACTCATAACGATTGAAAACAATGTTTTTGTTTGAGTTTGGGTTTGACCAATTCGTAAAAAAAACAAACAAAAAAAACTAATTAAGAGATGCGTGTCCTTCAACCTTATACAATAATCTTTGTCAATTTTATTTTCAGTCTTTATGATGGTTCGATTCTTACTGTTACATCCCCAGGCAACGCCAGGCTCTACTGCTAGTATATATATATATATATATATATATATATATATATATATATATATATGTGTGTGTGTGTGTGTGTGTGTGTGTGTGTGTGTGTCTGTGTCTGTGTGTGTGTGTGTGTGTGTGTGTGAACGTTTGCATTGCTCTGGATGTTTCTTGTGATATAAAGGTAATAAGCAATAAAAAAAGAAAAAGAAAAAAAAAACGAAACAATTATTCACGTTGGCCGAGAGAAATTACAATCAGAAATTGAATTTTTGACCCTGGAAGCGATTCACCGCAGAAAAATTATGAATGTAGACAAAATATCTACAGTTCTTGGTATTTCTGGGTCAGAAGGTGTATTGCTGAGTGTCCTCGGAGTAACGAATTGTATGAAGAGTGAAAATGGTGATAGAAATATTTGTCGATAGATAAATTTGAAAAAAAAAAAGCCTTTTTTTCTGGCATAACTAATAAAGAATGCTTCCTTAAAAAGTCTTGGAACACAACGTTTATACACACTCATATATATACATATGTATATATGTGTGTATGTTTGTATATAACATTTATTTCACACACGCGCACACACAGACACTTATATATATATATATATATATATATATATATATATATATTATATATATATATATATATATATATATATATATATATGAAAAGTTTATATAAATAAATATATATATGTATAATTATTTATATATTATATGCGCGGTACTTATTAGAAAGCGCTCAATATCAGAAATTTTAAAAGCGTGAAACCCAGGGTCACAAACTCGCATCTATCCAACCATACATATATATATATATATATATATATATATATATATATATATATATATATATATATATATATATATATATATATATATATATTAGGTTCATCGAGTCTAGAAGAATCCTCAACAAAATACAGAAAGCAATGGACGGCCGTTTCGTGCTATATGGAACTCATCAGCAGTGCGTGTCCACTACCGAGAATTGAACCCGGACCGTTAAGTTATATGTTACCTCTTCGTCACTGAAAGCCGTTGGTCTCGTGGGTATGACGTTTGCGTCATATCGTAACGGTCCGGGTTCGAATCTTGGTAGTGGATGCGCACTGCTGATGAGTTCCAAAATCGGCACGAAACTGCCGTCCAGTGCGTTCTGCATTCTGTCGACGATTCTTCTAGATTCGATGAATTACTTAATTATGATTATTCAAATCCACCTCGTAAATTCTACATAAATATTTAATGTATATATTCTGTTTCTACGTTATTTTAATTGGTCCCCTCTCCCCCCGTTCTCTCTCTTTCCATATATATATATATATATATAGGGTGTCCATAAAGTTCGTGTGAACTTTAAAAAATTGTATTTGTATTTGCGATAGAAATAATCTGTAAAAAATGTTATAAAGTTTAATGTACCTAGTTTTAAGTATAGCTAAAATAACTAATGTGATTTCAGGCATTACTGTAAATCAGTTGGCAAATGTTTTCCGTGAACTGCAAAGATCGTGTTACCCTTTGTA